ACTAGAACAATACAAGCGCGCGCTACGCGCGCGCACTTATTATTATAATTAATAATTATAAAATCTAAATATTTAAAAAAATTTTTTAATTTTAAATAACCGCCAAAATAACTTTTGCTCTCAAACTATCAAACTGCCAGAATAATCAAGATAACAATCAGCGTCGACAAAAAAGCGTCAACAATACTTTCGATACATTCGAGTATCGATTTTTTATGCCTTTTTAAAGAGTGGATTCAAGTAAATGTATTTTTTTGATTCCAAGTAAATATTCACTTGAATCAAGTAAATATTTTTTTTATTCAAGTAAATAAATTTTTTTATTGAAATAAATATTTATTAGAATCAAGTAAATATTTATTAGAATCAAGTAAATAATTACTAGAATTAAGAAAATATTTATTAGAATCAAGTAAATATTTATTAGAATCAAATAAATATTTTTTGATTTAAATAAATATTTATTTTATTCAAATAAATATTTATTAAAATCAAGTAAATGATTTTTTTATTCATGTAAATATTTATTAAAATCAAGCAAATGATTTTTTATTTAAGTAAATATTTATTAGAATAAAATAAATATTTATTAGACTCAAGTAAATATTTATTAGAATCAAGTAAATATTTTTTTGATTTCAATAAATATTTTTTTGATTCAAATAAATAATTTTTTTTTTATATATAATTTTTTGTATTCAAGTGAATATTTATTAGAATCAAGTAAATATTTATTAGAATCAAGTAAATATTTATTAGAATCAAGTAAATAATTTTTTTTATTTAAGTAAATATATATTAGAATCAAGTAAATATTTATTAGAATCAAGTAAATTATTTTTTATTCAAGTAAATATTTATTAGAAATTACCAAATATTTGATAATTAAGACGAAGTGATTTAATCATTATTCTATAGTTGGATCGACCATAATCCATTGTGGTAGATTCAACCATAATTTTATAGTTGGATCGACCATAATCCATTGTGGTAAATCCAACCATAATTTTATAGTTGGATTGATCATAACCCATTTTGGTAGATCCAACCATAATTTTATGATTATTTAGGACGAAATGGTTTAGTAATTATTACCAAATATTTGGTAATTAGGACGAAATGATTTAGTAATTATTACCAAATATTTGGTAATTAGGACGAAATTATTTAGTTCCCATTACCAAATATTTGGTAATTAGAAAAAATATACAAGTAAAAAATATCTAAATAATTTTGCAAAAAAATTTATAATTAACGTCCTAATTTTTTACATATTTTTAAATTCCTTTTTTATTTGAATACAACTTGACAGCTTGAGAAAATGTAAACAATTGTCATAGAAACATTTATAAATTGCTAATCAATATTGCCTTGACAATTTAAATATAAACTTTCAAAATATATTTTTTGCACATGATCAATATTGCCTTGACAACCATTTAAATATAAACTGTAAAAATATATTTTTCGCATATGACATTGAGATAACCAATCAGTGTCGCGATAAAACTGCAACAATACACTTCGATACTTTCGAGATTTCGATACATTAGACTATCGACTTCTCATACCTTTTTTAAGAGTGGATAATTATTTTTGAATATTATTCAAAATTAATTACTATATGTATATAATAACATTCAATTAAAATTTTTTCAAAATTTCTTCCATAACTCAAATCTCCAAAATTTCATTTGAGACTAAGACCTTGATAACATATGTCAAGGTCAAGATTATTGGGAGGTAGTCCTCCATTATTCGGTTTTATCAAAAATATTATTATAAAGTATTTTTTAGTAAATTTTAACGATGAAAAACTATTTTTCTGTATAACAGGGTACTATTATGTCAATTATTCTATGAATAATTGGCAACTGCTTGGGGACTATTTGTACTATAAAAATAATACCCGTATACATGTTATCAATCGAGCTCAAATTATCGATGACTCGATTCATTTTTTGAAACAAAAACAATTAAATTTTAGTTCGTTTTGGAATATTACAAAGTTCCTACATAACGAAACAGACTACATAGCATGGTATCCTATGATTAAATTTGTTGAACTCATAACGTGTATCTTTCCAATGACGAAAAGTGATTACGTAACGGTAAGTAATGGTAAATTTTCTCTACAAGAAGGAATAATGTGTCATAGCACTCCATATAAAAAAAGTTTAAGCATAAATCTATATAAATCTGTATAAATCTGTGTAAACATACATACATTTTTTCAAAAATAACAATAAATTTAAAATTCCTATTATTTAACCATTTTTTAGAACAAACTTGTAGAATTGTTCAATACACTTCTGACAAATATAGGATATTATGACCAAGTTGACGAATCTGGTCTTACTAAAACTTTAAGACAAGAAGCGGTAAAATGGGCATGTTTTCTCCGTTCTGATACATGTAGAACAACAGCCCAATATCGATTAAGCAAAGATCTTTCCAATCCTGTACAATCAAGGTAAGTTATTTTACAAGTATGATATTTGTATAAATAGATTTTATGACATTACTGCTCTATGTTAGATAAATTATTTTAAAATCGAGAAACAATATATAAGCTAAATTTTTTGAAAAATATTTTTTTGATAATGCAGATTTTTTGCTTGGAAACAATGGATATACTGTAAAGGTTTAATGATAGCAGACGACACCATTTGGATGAGTGTGTATGACAAATGGCAGGAAACGAATGAAACTGAGCTTTTAGAATACTTAATTTGCTCTAAAGATCCTACTATTGGTATCAAATATTTAATGATAGCGTTGAAAAATGAATTTCTATTTAAAGCAAAAGGCAATAGGCGTGCTCATATAATTCTCTATATTATTGCGAGACATATAAGAAATAATACTGCGTTCAACTTTATAATGCAACATTTTAAAGACATTGAATTCACTTTTAACAGGTGATTACACTTTCATTTATAAATATATTTAAATATTTTTGAATATTTGTTACATTTACTAAATATATTACTTTGCTTTTGTAGGTATGCTGACTATGTTGTAATTTTAAATGTTATTATAACGTTCGACCATTCCGTAGATCATTTCAAACAGGTATATTTTTTTATATGCATATAAAATTCTCATTACTTAACTATTTCATATTGAGTTTATTTATGATTAATTTGTCACATACGTGACATATCTGATTCAAATGCACTTAATGCAGCAATTGACGATTTCTTTATCTGTAATGTAGTGAGAGAAAAACTTATATTTATTAATATCTTCTGTTATATCATCAAATAATCTGTTTTAGATAAGTGAATTCGTTAAAGAAGAGATAAAAGACGAGAAAATAATGTATGCTGTTGAAGAAAAAATAAAAACACGAAAATCCCAATATAACAAATACGTCTTATACTACGGGCAGTTCGGCGTCTTTAAAAAAAGAAGAAAATAGGCAAACAATTGAATCCATGGAGAACAATAATTTTACTTGGTGCATGTATATATTATATATTAATAATTTTTATAATCCTCTTCTTATTGTTGTGTTAAATATAATTTCTAAATTTTAAATTATTCCATTTTTATTCCAATTATTTTTAATGTTTTGTTTATCTAACATTAACTGATATTTATATATGAGCACCTCAGAGATAAACTGTGTTGAGTCACATTTTTTCGAAAATTGAGTTATTGTTATTACAAAACTCTATACTCCAATTTTTGGCCCAATGGCAAATATTTTTAATGAATATTTTCATTTTAATGGAGATGTTGACTGTGTAAAGTTAAGTCACATTCACCAGGTAAACAGTATTAAGTCACATTAAAATCATATTCCGTAATCACACAACTTTATGTTCTGAAACATATCGAAGTTTGATATTATATCTGTGAATACTTAATAAAAATACTTAGAACAAATTTTGCATCATTAATAAAGCATCATTAGCTATGCTTTCGACATGTTCAATATTGTGAGAATATAAATATTATATACGATCTCTATTTTACTTTTGTAAGTTAATTGATATTGGTAACAACTTTTGACCTTTTAAAATCTGGCAGAATCATCACGTGCTTATGTCATTAACTTTTTAAATAAAATCAAATGCAAAATAATACAAAATAAATAATATTTACATAATACAATATATTATACAATACTTTGACAAATTTAGTACATGTAAGATAAATGTTCCGAAGGCCGGATAACTAAGAGTTAATCATCATTAAATACTTATATAATTTCCTTTCTATCAAGATAATATTTTTCTTGTCTTTCTGAACACATAATGAAGATTGAAGTTTATTTAACAGGAGTAAAACTAAAATTATAATTATTAAATGACAATTATTAAAATTAAATATTTGCAAAAAATATGGGATATTTATATGTAGCAGTTCTTAACCATTATATTTATAAATATTAAAAAAATTGTTTTTTTATATATAGTTGGAGATTGAGATATGTCTAGCCACTGTGACATTTATTTTTATTACATTTTCTCTTAATAAAAACTTATACCTTATAATTTTGTTCAAGAAAAATTTACAAAAAAGTAAACCTGTTAAAGTCGATAACAATTAAAATTTGAAGAAAATTTTAAGATGACGTTTCTTATACGCAAGAAACTTCTTCCGCTCTAGCGAAAGAGAATCTTGCTGTTTGCACACCCGAAGTTTTGTCATTATCTTTGTCATCAATAAACTAACTGTCAAAGCGGAAGTTTCTATAAGTTTACCGACAGTAAAAAATTAAAAAAATATATAGAAGTGATAAAAAGTTTGTGAAAATCCTACCTAATATATATAAAATTATTATATTATTATATTATAATATTATATATATAATATCGGCCATTGGTAAGTCATAAAAAATAGAATAAATACTTTCAAGTTTCTCTCGGATATCAATATCCGGCACTGTCGCGTACAGTGTATACAGTTGTCGGTAATTCAGTTAATTAATATATTAATAACTGGTAATAATAACGTTTCTATTTAAGTAATCTCTACGAGTTATTGTTAGTTTTATCAGCTGTTGTTTTTTTTTGTAGCACTAGATGATTATATTATGTAAAAACTTATAAAATACAAACGTAACATGATTATATAGATGAATATTATTATGTAGAAAAAAATGATGTTACATTAACAATTAAATTTGTCTAATTCTTAATCTGACAAGTTAATTTTGTAAATTTAATAGTAGTATTAATCAAATAAATATATGTTATGCTCTTGTTTTAATTAACAAAATTTACTCTAGTCGGACAAACGCTGCTGATGCAATATTTTTTCTTTTTGTTTATGATTTCCATATTTAAAATGCTTTAAACAAAAATGTATAATTAAAATTTATCTCTGTATATAATTAAATTCTTCTCCAATTGGATTTTGAATATAAATTTAATGGCATTTTTTATTTATGTATTACATTATTCTATTTAAACTTTATTCGTAAAAATTTCTTGTAAATCATGCCAAATAATTCAATTTTTTAATCTTAAAGAAGCAGTTTTTATATCATTACAATTTTGATTAGATATAAAATTACTTTATTAATATCTCGACTTAATATAAACATTTTTTACTTATAACATATCTATTTTTATATCTGCATAAAAGTTTGAGTGCGAAATTGCACCACACCTTAGCTTTTGCCATATTCGAACAGCTGAAACTAAAAGAATTGATGTTCGTCTTGTGACAGACGTCTGTTCAATCAATTTAGACATGTCGGACGTCCAATAAAGGCGTTAAAAAATTTTTAAGTTACTCCGTTATACCTCATAATGTTTTCCCGAGCCGCAAAATCAGTCGTCAAGTCCCTTGGGTCACGCCAAATCCAAATTGGCGAAAAGAATTTCCAGGTATCTATAATTCTTATTTAAACTTTATGATATTTATAAAGTGACGTTTTATAATAATTTTATAATAAAAACTCAGAGTTATCATTTCACTTCATGCACTTTTATATCACTCATTACACATTTTTATAGATTACATCTTCTGTTTATAAGATTTTATCGAGTAGAATTTTTAAGTGTAAAGTGTTTTTTGCTTAATAAATAAAATTTACATTTTCTTTGACATATTCTGATATATTTTTATTAATATGCTTAAAATGTAATTAAAAATACTAAAGTAAATGCTCTACTTGGTATTGCAATTTTTATTTTAATTATTAAAAAATAGCGTAAATCTAAATGTCTGCATTACTCAATCCGATCAAGCCTTTGCTGAATTATAATAGAATATACCATTTCTGTGATAATCAGTTATTTAAACCTGTTATAAATTGTTTATTATTCACAATACTCCGAACATTTGATATAAGTTCCAAATTAATGCAGCTACTATCAATGAGACTAATTTCAATGAAAGAAAAATACGATTGCTTCAAAATAACAAAATATCAATTTAAATAGCCATCATGGATAATAACGGCAAACAGACCCTGTTCAACCAAAATCAGTCATCCAAACGCCACAATTAATAATGCAAGAACACACAATAATATTGCACATAATCTTTCTAATCTTCAAGGAGATAATGGAAAGGTAAAATATAATAAAATTATTTATTGTTTAAATAGGTATTCGGTTTGTGAATAGAGCACATTTATTGTCAATTATTAATTTTTATTTGCTTACAAAAATTTATGTTATATATATATATATATATATACCAATTTTATTAAGTAATACATTTCGTAACTGTCAAAGATAATTTTTGTAATTTTAAATTCTTATCTAAAAATAATTTTTATTCTAGAATTACTTCTATATCTTTAATTTGGAAATATTTTGCGCAAAAGTGGCATATTTAATTATATAACGATACATTTAATAAAAAAATTTATTAAGTGATGCAATTTTTATTTCTTAAAGTTATTATTAAAGTAACGCAATCTATTTCTTGCGCAGAATCAAACAGACCAACTTGTAGAAGCTCTTTATCGTTTACCGATAGCTGAAGAAGCTTCAACATTAAATAGCTTATTGATACCTAATGAAATAATACCAAAGGTAAGAAATAAATAAATGTGTTATATTCATAGTTTTAGAGACTCACAGTTTTAATACATTTCTTGCGTTACGAGAAATCTTTAACACAAGCTACACTACTAAAAAAATGGTTATTGATATTATTAAGCAATATCGTTGTTTTATTTTAATTGATATTAAAAGTAGAATATATACATTTTTTGTACAAATTGAGATAAAAATATTCATGTTAAAGAGTATATAGTTTTGATAGTCAGTCAAATCGTATTTAGGATTGTGTTCTTATTAGATAATTCTAAGATTTCAATCCAAAAAGTAAGCGAACTTGTAACACAATTGTATGCGCGTGTTCTATATACAGCGTATTATATACAGAATTACATAATAGAATGAGAACGACAAACTGTTCGTAGACGACATTGCTTCGTATTCGACGTTGATGTCTCGATTTTGAAGAGTGCATTCACTCTAATAATTATTGCGGTATGAGTCTGCCGAATCGTATTGCCACTCCACTGGCGCGGGACAATAAGAACCGCAAAATCCGCATGCTCGCGTTCGTGTATCGTATGGTCGATATCGACTTCCGCTATTTCCGGAAGGCGGAATTGTGCGTCATTGAAGGAATCGCAATTTCACACGTGTACGTCATCCAAAATCGTTACAAGACACTGTGATTTGGCACTCGAGCAGAAATTTCTCGGACATTTGAAATTATCGAGAATAGATCGTTATCTGAGTAAAATGAATAATATAATCAGCAAGATACATATCGTAGATACTCTTACTAAATTTAATCCTTATTTTAAGCAATTTACTGCGGAAAGAATTATCGATCCAAGCAAGCAAATTATTCTGCAATGTTATACTTCGGAGATCATTATATTATCGAACAAAATAAATTCTCAAGCAAATTTTTAATATGCCACAAAAAGCAATTTAAATTCTCGGAATTTCCGGGATATTATTAGATTTAAATTATTTCACATTGTGAGAACTATCTACATTCAGTAATATATTTTTAGCTTGGATTCCATTTTTCTAGAATTATAAGGACCAGATTCTTGAAGATACCAAGTTGAATATATTTTGAAAATTTGCTGTCTTTCTATGAATTGTACAATACTGTGAAATAGGCAGCGCATAAAGTTAATTAATCTATGGATAGAATTTTAATCGACGCTGAAGACAGCGGCCATAAATAGATGTATAAAGGGCCTAGAGGAAACTGACCTTGAAATCGTCTCTCCGTCTGTCCTCAGGCGGCTAACGTGTGCAGCAGGATGCGTCCTTACGCGAGAATCATCATCATGGATCCCAGCAACAATGCCTGGCATAGAGATTACACCATTGCCGCGATTTGCAAGTGGTTCCCTGACACGATACATCTGCCGTTTCAAGCACACGACATAAGCTTTATTTCAGAATCGAAAAACTTCAAGAGCCATCGATCGATTAAACGAAAGAAGGAAAACAAAAATTTATTTTGCGTTGCAAACAAAAATGATTTTTTATCAGATTATGAAAAGCCGACAACAGAACTAATAAAGGAATGTAGAAACGCTAAAATATTTTCAAGTACAGAGGCACGTTGTAGAACAACAGGAAAGTCGGCTAATTGGGTAACCGATTGGGTTAAATCAAAATTACTGCACGAGATCTGTAATCATAGCCGAGGATACGTCAGCTGGTTTTTTATTAAAGCATTCGCTGTAAATAATGTCTCGATAAACTTGATAAATAATCACCTCCTGAAGAAAAAAAATATAATAGATAATAAAAATACAAAAAGCTATTTTTCTATAAAATGTAAAAATAACGACATACTAGTCGCACTCAATCGTAATAGCAAGGCAATCACAGGCGATACATTAAATACTGTTGAAGAGGAAAATTGGATTCAACGAATATCCTGCAAAATCAAATCCATACTCCCAGATTTGCATGCTAAAATCCGATCGCGCTCGACAACCGTATTGAATTTGTATTACTCGGAGAATATTTTTGCAGTGAACGAATCGATTCCAATTTCCGAAGTAATTTCCAATAGAATTTTCTTTGCATCAAAGGATTGCGATTCAAAGTCTAGCATTCGGAGAAAGATAGAGGAATTTTGCATACAGCGAAAAAAATCTTTTCGGAAGAAGGCAGACAAAGATGACATTTGCAAGAAAAGGGAGAGATCTTGTAAAACGGCGGAGAAAAAATGCCAGAAGAAGGAAAAGACGTGCGGAAAAAAAGAAATAGATTGTTCTAAGAGACGAAAACAGACATGCGAGGAGCAAAGGAAGGTTTCTTGTAAAAAAAGAAAAGGTCTTGATAAAGATGTCCGCGATTGTCGTAAAACTCGGGAAATGAAGCCTCAAGAAGAGCCAAGCAAAGAATATAAAGATTGTGATACCAGTAAAACAAAAGAAGATTTTTGCCAAAGACAGCGTCGTGTGGAACAAACACAAACTTCTTGCGCCAAAAGTGCAACTATTAAGCAAACAGAAAAGGATATATGTAAAAAATCGGAAGAAGACGAATATCAAAGGTCATATGACGAGAATGATAAATGCACAAAAGAGAAGAAACGCAGAAAGGAGGAAGATGAGAAAGCATCGTGTAAACAGAAACAGAAAGAAACATGTCAAGAGAAAAAGAAAACGGATTGTGAAGAGGAAAAAAAGAGCAAAAAATCGGAGTGTTCGGAAATTAGAAAAATAGACTTATGCAAGAAGAAAGAGTGTCCACCCGTAACAAAAGCTCCAAGCTGTTCCGATAGCAGCGGAAAAACGGACGAAAGAGAGAAAACCTGTAGAAAATATTCCACTTATGCGTTACAAAATAATTCCCAAAGAAGCGATGAAAACCATTAAATGATGTAGATTTAAAAAATATTTTGCAAGAGTCAACAGTCTCTGTATTATAAAATTCTAGTGTTAATTATTTGAAAAAAAATTTATTGATTTTGTACAACCTCGGCACTTTTAATCGTTTTGTGATAATTAAAAAAAATTTTATAATATTATATTCGAGAAGTATATTATATACGTTTTCTTGTAAATCTGATGAATATTAGTAAATTATTTTGCAAAAAATGCGTGTTTCAAAATTTTAAGATTATTATTATAGAAATAACTCCGCGTGGAAATACTTTAATCAAACAAGTCACACATCGTATCATTCTTCCTTACAGTTGCAATCAAAAGAAAAAATCTTGACTGGCAGGCTTCTAGCATCTGGTTTATTTGGCGAAGTAAGTTTTTAATAAAAGACTTATATCATTTATAATTTAATTAATTTTTTTCTCTACTTTACTACATTATTTCCATAAGTAAATTATCGAACTAATATGATATCTTTGGTGCATTTAAATTTTTTATATAAAATATTACATATTAAACTAGAGAAATTTTTTGTATGTATAAAAATTGGAAAATCGTAGAAGTATATTTTTAAAAATTTATCGCTATGGCTCCACCTCCCTTCTGCCTCTTTTTTCATCGAGTCGATTACTATAAACCGCTCAAAATCCTAGTACAGCGCATACGCCAAAAAAGGATATCTTATTATAAAATGAATAATGAGTTATTATAAATTCGGTTTCTGATCATTCTGGTCATCCTCTCTTCGCAGAGAAGACGGAAGTCAAGTTTATCGATGAGATCTGCGGTAGACTTATTCGAAAGCGGGAAATCGATCGAACTTGGTAAGATACGAGCCAACAGAGATCCTTTATCGATCATTTCTTCACATCAACAAATTATGGGAATCGATTTCATCAACGATTTCCAGCAAGATCTCAATTCAACAGTTGACCGTCACTTTTCTTCTCCACACGAGCACTTTGACAGCAATTTTCGCCGTTGCGACGATCGTCAGTTTGACGAATCAAAACCATTGTACGATAAACAACTCCATGACGATTATTTCCCTCAAGGCGATGAGTACGAAGAAGAAATCGGTACGGGCGACCATCAACTAGGTAAAAAAAGTAAAAAACCGCCACGCTCCGACGATGAGTACGACAACTTCAAGCCGATAATATTGATGTTCGAAAATGACAAATGCGTTAGCGGAGGTCCATTAACGAAGCTTATCACACACGTACATTTTCCAAATACCGGATTGATAGAGACCGTGCAAACGATACTGATGTCGAAAAGAATTTCCGATCAGGAGGCTGTCGAAAAATTGCAGATTCTCATCGATAAAGTAACGGAATTCAAACGCCGAGCTTTTCGCGACAAAAGTAATGCGGCAAAGTCCCGAGGTCAAAGCGACGAAAGGAAGGAGAAGAAGATCGGCAAGAAGAATAACGGCGCAGAAACAACGAATCGATCCGGTTTGACAAATCAAAAGCAGGATTATAGCTTCGTCTAAAATTGTTCACGAATTTAATCTCTGAATAATCGCTGTCATTATTTTTATACGTAAAAAAGTTCAGGCGCTTCTCTTTTGCTTTTACTAAACTCATTAAAGGAGGGAGGTGGGCCAAAGTCTTGGGACTGTCGCGAGAATAATGAGGAAGCACAGAACAACTCCCCACGATTTAATGCGTAAAAACCAGCAGGCAGTTAGTGGCAAGGGACTGCAGCTAGGTGATCCAGACTGTGGCGACGGTCTACCCGATGAATCGAAAAAAAATCCGTGCTATCCACCCGAGGGTCCCTGTCAGCCTGCCGAGCCACCAGGCTATCCTTTGAAACCGAAGCCGAAGAGAAAGCCATTCTGCGTAAAATGTCCGCCCAAGAAACCGTGCAGGAGCGAAAAGTGCTGAATCGCGTCAGTAAGAGACAGAGGGTACGTGGAGACATGGGCGGCTATTAAATGCTATCCGGCGGAAACTGAAAGTCTTATTGTTATTTCCAAAACAAATATATATAAAAATATATCTATTCTTTTTCATCTCTTTTTCTGAACTCCGCAGGCTGTTCAGAAGCTAAAAGCTAGACAAGTACAGACATTCGTAAAAAGTCCGCCGAAAGTTCCAGTTGGAGTTCCGGAGAAATGTCTTGATTTGAGATCTATTTTGGGGCCAAAAGAATTAGGATTCAATCGATGGAATAAATTCTCAATAAGCGCAGGATCGGTTTGCGCAAGAAGTTCGATCTCCTTTAACGATAAAGAGATTTTTTCAATGCATAAAGCATCAGGTCGGACTCGTGAGCAATCAAAAAGATATTTTCCAAAGCGTTCAATTGTAACCGAATGTAAACGGCCGGTCTCGAAGAGTCTACCGACAGCAACACCGCCTTGCCACTCGACGCTATCATGTTCACCAACTGAAAAATATATTTCGCCATTTTGCCATCATAAATCAAGTTTGAAGTATCAAGACATGTCGCGCTTTCCACATCCTTCGCCATTTTTCATCGCCGGGAAATCACCATCTTCAATAATCTGCCGCAAAGAAATTTTTCCATCATCATCTTTGATAAAAAATTTAAAATACTCTTTGAAATTATCGGCGCCGATTTTTTCAAATTTCTTGAAATACTTATTAAAACAAAAATGTCTATCGCTTTATAAATTGTACTTTTCACTACGTCCTCCATTCTATTGTGCGGCCTGTCCATCCGACCCACATTCACTTTTGCAATGCTCGCAAGATGTTTACAAAAGCTTGCCAAGACTACGAAAGAATAAAATGCGCAAGAGGTCCATTTATAGCGGTCCATGTTATCCGGTTTCGCTGCATAGAGTTCATCGACGGGGATTTCACAGCTCTTTTCCTCTCGCCAAGTCGAAGTCCGACAAGCCTGCTGCTTGCCAGGAGATGAATAAAATCTGTAAAACGTCCGAAGAGAAGAAGATCGATCGGTGCGATCAGCCGTACAAAGAAAAAAGTGACATGTGTCAGGAAAAAAAAGTCAAGTGCGACAAGCGCCTACAACTGAATAAAAAAGACGACGCAAATGCCGGAAAAAAATGTAAGACGAAGAAGAAAACTGTGGATTCTGTATGCAAGAAAACTTGCTTCAAGAGAGGCAAGTGCGAATTGCCAAAAACTGACCCGCCGCCTAAGATGACGTACGCGAAGGTGACGTGTCCTTCGCCGAAGTTTGTGAAGCCTAATCAATGTCCGTCGAAGTTGGACCTCCAGAAAAACGGACCTCACAAAGGAGCTGAACAAAGTTGCATTCAGAAGGCACAAATTTGTGCTCCGCTGCCATTGCCAAAGCCACCCTGCGATCCTATTGTCTTATGTCCTTGTCTACCACCGCGTAAACTGCATCCCGGCCCGTCTCCGTGTTACGAAATAAAAAGAGTGGCTGTTAAGTCGTCTAAGATGCCATCCTGTTCGTTAAAGAAAAAATATCCATGTCCCACCGCAATACATTTTTGTCCTTTGGAGAAGAAGCCATGTAAATTAAAACGAGATAAGACAGACAGCCAGTGCGAGCGCAGACAGAAAAAGGAGACACCGGCGTCTTAAAATAATAAGCAAGTAGCAATATTAGTCATTATTTTTCAGACAGAAAAAGTTGAAAAAATTTTGAACAGTAAAAAAGTATTAGCCAGGTTTTGACATAACGTTTTTAATCAGAAAGATAACGTTGTTTCGGATTTTTATAATAATTTTTAGACAATTATTTAATATATGAAATATTGGTTTTAACCAGCTTTTATCCAAAATTTTATCATCCCAAATGCTTCAAATTAAGAGTTAATATTATTTGATACATTACATTATGTAAAAATATTTTTATAAAAAAAGTTAGACGCGGAATGGCTGCAAAGTACATTCTTTTCATAGAAAAATAATGAGATTGAGAAAATAAAAATAAATGCGCAAAGGAATAGCATTGATTTCTGCGAGATCTATGAAATTAAAGATTCGGATCAATAAATGTCAACAATTTAAGGCTGACTTGTTCGTCTTCCGTTAGCAATCTGCAATCGATGGTGCTTTCATTTTTTCGTTTGACAATTTTGTTTGATCTATACGAACCTTTTCTTTTGTAGAAAAAAAAAGAACACCATTGATCTCGTGAGAGCTTAGTGTAAGGCGAACAAACCGGCTGTCGATGCATGTTACTTGTCGCGTGACTAACGGGTTTTATTTATTCTAAAATTGTGCACTGTATTAACACGTGTATGCTAATACGAAATGAAAACACAATTAAACTTCAATAAATATGCATAATATTTATAGAAATGCATTGAGTATCATACGTATTATATATTGAAAAATAAAGTCGCCGTGAATACGTTTCGATATTAATATAAGTTTAACTTATATACATTACATTATCTTTTTTTTTGATTTCGCAATAGCGCCGCGAAAATTGGTTTATTCGATTTAGTCGAAAAAGATAAACAAAAATGTTTTTTTTTCGAAGTGATAAATAGACTTTGTTGGTCATGCGACATTCGATGTGCATTTTATTAATTTTTTTAAGAAAAGTTCAAGTCTAAATTCGCATAGATCTCGCAGTCAATATATAAAAAAGATATACTTTGTTCTTTTTGCGCGCATTCTACGAATTGAACATTTCAATGCAAATAAGTAGATGAATATATTCAACTGAATAATATGCATGACAAGGGACTTTTTCATAAACAAATTTACAGAACGCACGAGCTCGGGAAAAATATCTCTAAGCATTTTCTAATTTTAAGGCGTGACCAAATTTTTGTGGTTAACTGAAAAATATTTGCCAATAAGAGCGAAACAAATTTGTACAGATTTTCAGCTTTTATATATTATACATCAAGTACTTTAGTTATACATTTATTAAATTATCATGTATCTCCATCAGTTTCTATATAAATAAAATTTTATGGCTATTATTTGCTTTGATCTTTTTCAAAATATGACTCAAAAGTATTGTTTGTGTCTTCCATGGAATTTAATTAAAGAAATTTGGCGTGGAACTCGAAAGTTGTATCTCGCAAGTTTTGCAGGCGCTTCTGCTCAACGATGGGTCATCTCCATCGCTGCAACGCGTCTGGATAGGAAATACGAAGGAGGAGAGCGAACGGCGACTGGTTGTAAATAGGAAATCGATTTCTACCGCAGCAGATCGGTTCCGTTGTTTGATTTCGATCCCGTATCCGCCGTCTGTGTACGCGATAATAATCGTAGACGTACGTGCCACGCCGTCTCTGCCGTAACCATTTCAATGTACAAGCGTCGCGTGCGAGTGTGTGCGTGCGAGTAAACGCACGCTACGAAATCGGCATCAAACGCGCTTCGTTACAATAATATCGACATTTATATACGACGGGGGGAGTTCAGTCCGGAGGAAGTTCGGTGGAAAGACGGAGGTCCTTATCATTTTATTATTGGGGTGGGCAACCCTCATTCTCGGAACGACGCTTTACTTTTACCTCCCTTTGTCTGTCCCTCGAATGGCCTCGACGCCCTCTTAAAGGCTTAAACGCCGTTTCCAGGCGCCCGATAGAATAACCTAGCCTTTCTATCGCGCTTCCTGATTATTAAAATGGAAGCGGTGTTGTCATTCATATTGTATCATGTGTCTATTTAATTCTGTTAAAATTGCCATTTCAGAAATGCTAAGAGTATAATTATATATTATCTAATTAATTATGATTATTTCAAATACGATATTCGTTAAGAAAAAAAAAAATCACAAAAATCGCCTTTCGTTCTAGATGAAAATTCCATTTGGAAAACTGATGACACACAAAAGCTATCTCAGATCGAAAGGCTATATTTTCATGGTATATTGATTGCGATAAAAAAAAAATAACAATTGCTTATAAGTAACAGATTTCGATGTAAACATTCGGTGGAGAAATTTTCGTACAGTGTTATATCAATCGGCGAAAATCCGAGCGGTCTCGACCGAAATCGCTTTCGATGAGAGAGTTATCTCGCGCTCGCGAAAACTTCTCCCACAGCGTGCTCCTCCTCGCGCCAGGTTTCATCGATGCAAGATATCGCGAGCATTATCGCGGACGTTCACCGTGATTGGTCGGATTCGAGGGTATCGTCTCTTTTTCCACCCTCTCGCTCGACCAATAAGTGACGTTTCCAGCTGAGAAAGGGTGCGGAGGGTAGGGAGCCCGAAAGGGGATGGCAATTCGGCGAGAGAGACGAGATGTGCAATGTTCCGAGGGGGTTGCGGAGGAAAGAGGAGACGGTTGGAGAAGCAAGAGGGGAAGAACGAGGAGGAGGAGAAGGAGGCGGAGGCGGGAAGGGGAGAAAACTCTCCGCGTGGAAGAGAGCCGAGCGGGTCGGGCTTCTCGATGGAAACAAGCGGGATGGATAAACTTCGGAGCGACTGTCCCCGAGGCTGATGCATAATTCAGGAATCGTCACCGGCGAGGATATTGCCAATTTGGCGTCGATGAAAATACGATCGGATTTGTGTCGGCTACCGCCCAGAATGGGGCTCGGGGCTCGCTCGCCTCGACGTACACATCCAGTGAATTTAACACCTTCGCCCGACCGACCGACCGCCCACCCTGCCGTGCGTAATTGCATCGCGACCAATCCGCGGGTGTACACACGATCTCCTCTCTAATAGCGTTTGCCGTTTTCACGCCGCTTCCGATATGGACGGAGTTAAGAGTTCTGTGACATCGCCGGACAAATTACGGCCGGCGGCTTCGCGCGGCGTCGTTTGTGCGCGGCGGGTGTAACGAGCGGTGAAACGCAACGAGACAATCTAGAAACGCGTGCTCTACTCACAGTAATTTCTGTTAGCCAATCCGACGTGTAATTTCACTGCGGCACTCGAACAACGTTACGCAAATGAAATTTCTTTATATCAAACAATTTGTATTAAAGATTACAGCATTTATGCTCGCGCGTGGTGGTCGTCTTGCAAAGATTTTCTCATATATACGCTTCGAAATATCACACAAAATTGATTATTTCGGTACAAGAATCAATATTTAATGAAATATTTAAGGTTTAGGAAAAACCTTCGTGAAAAACAGTAGGGGTTACGCCGGATTTTAGATAAGTCGATATGCCTACCGTGAAAGATTTTAACGTACAGATTCGGACGATTTCCTTTTAAATTCATAAGCCTGTAGAATATTTTATGTTTTTGAAACGGCGACGGCGCGATTCTGATACTGATTGATGAAAGATTATCGGTTTTTCATGGTTTTCACTGTTAGAATTTTCGAGGGTGGTAGCAAGCCGTATAAAGGAGGATCGTTCGACATTCGACGATTTTCCACGGATGTGGGGACAACGGATGGGCATGAAATATTTATAGCGAGGGAAAAGGTCGAGATATCGAGACACGATGAAAAGAATACATTCGGGATCGATTCAATTTGTCAACGCGCTGCTAATTGCGTTATTATGCCATTCTTTTGTCCGTCGAAACGCCTCGATCATCAATAATCTATAAAAACCTGGCGTTGATAGCAATGAATTGGCGAGCGAAGGGAGGATTCACGGAGATTATGAGAGGATTATGATTTCCTAATGGAGCTCTTAGATTAATGAATGGAACGATAGTAGCGAGTTTTTCGATAATAATTTAATCGCTGAATCGCTAAATAATACAAGTTACATCTTTTGTATTTTGAAAAATGGAAAAGTTTTTGACACAAAAATTGATTTTATGAGGAATATAAATACCATTTTGAAACTTTATAAACTCTTCCCTTAAGAGAGAATTTAATCTATTAATTCATAAAAATTTATCACTTATAATTTATTAATAACAAGTGTTTCAGCGCTTTTAATTGTGTTCAGCATTATCGCTAAAAATTATTTAAGAAATTTTTTACCAAAGTAAAATTAATGAGATAGGAGAAGACCCGAGCTGAAAAAATGTGGCGGTCTTGTAAATTTATTCGTCGGACGGACGAAGGGCTCGGTGACTTGGCCACCAGAAGGCGGGAAAAGTCGAAGATTTATGATACCGGATGCGCAAATACGGTGAAACTTCCCCGTATCCGGAGTGGCGAAAACTTTTGTCGGTGTTTGCCTGGCGCCTTTCCTTTTTTTTTTAATCCGCGACTATCAAGGACAAGATTTTGTCCTTAAATTTGTGTACATGGCTGATAAAAACTTTTTCAAATCTATTTATATTATAGAAAAAAATATATAAAATGTGATAAGAGCGTACAGTTTCTTACGTCACCATCTTGAGATCAAGCCGATTGGAAGAAGTTAATATAAACAAAAAGCAGAATATAATATACTAAACTCTGATACTTTTAAGTTCCTTTAAATTAAATTTAAATTGCTTTTATCTTTTTTTATTTCTCGTGCTGTGGCGAAAAAGTTTACAAGAATATCGTTAAAGATCTTTTTATATTGTGTAAAAAAAATATTTTTCTACATATTGTTTGCATTTCAGGAATATTTATTTATTTATTGCGTAAATTGGAAGACACTTTTCGTCAGACACATTTCCACAATTTACAAAATCTGTTTCAAATTGAACTTTCCACTTTTCTGGTAATGATCGGCCATTCTAGCTTGTGTCCCAAATGATT